AGACATTGGGCTTACTATTTTTATTTTGAAATTATTCTAGATTTAGAGAAAAGTTGCACAAATTATATGGAGTAGTCCCTTTACTCAGCTTGCTGTAATGCTAACAACTTTTATGTGGCTGTAGTATAGTTATCAAAACCAGGAAATTAAAATTGGTATATACACTTATATATTTTATTTGAATTTCACATTGTTCCAGCTAAAGTTACCTTTCTGTTCCAGCATCCATTAGAGAATCTCACATTACATTAGTGGTTCTGAACCCTCAGTTTCCTCCTCTCTTGTTTTTCATGGACTTGGACACTTTGATGAGTTCTGTTCTGTTTTATAAAAGTCTCAGTTTGAGTTTCTCCAATTATGTTCTCATGATTGCATTGTGGTAATGTGTTTTTGGTGAGGATAACATGACTTACCTTTTGAAAGTATCTCACTGGCTGCTTTGATAAGCATAATCCAGGTGAGGCTCAGACTAGATTATTCATGGAGGTGTTTAGAAGCAGTCAATTTATGAACATATTTTGAACTGAATGAGTTCTGATAAATGAAAACATTGCTGTAGTCTGAGCATGGTGTTTGGGAGAAGACAGATGTATTGCAAATGAAGAAGTGGTCTTTTATTCTTTTGTCTAGCCTTTGAACTTCCTCTTTCTTACTCTGATTATTTTTCAACATGACCATTTTAGAAACTAGGAAAACTAACTAAAATATTGTGGCGTTTGTTTGCCTTTGTTGGTATAACCATTGTCATTGACAATTACAAATATAAAATCAAGCCTTATGTGGGTGGTAACTGATTTCCCTTAGTTCTAGGGAAATAAAATTTATTTTGAGCTGCCAGCCCCATTCTGTCACGTCTGGCCTTTTTTTTTAGAATTTTCATCGGATACTTATGGTGTAAAGTGCTGTGTTTCCAGCCATGGTGGAGTTAGCAAGAATTAGATTTACCTTTTTGATATCAGCAACTAGAAAGCTGGATAAATCTATGAATCACCCTTTCTCAGCAGGCTGTACAGGATGTGGTTGCCCAAGAGACAGAACTAAATGTCATGGGCACTGTAATTGCCACAGCTTTCTGCCTGGTGATGCATTTCATATCACAGTGCAGAAAGGGGAATACCAGACAGAACTGCTAGAAATTTCAGAAGAGAATGCTAGGCAGGAGAATATTACACAGAAAATAACACTTTTGAGTGTTTTCTGTATCAGGCAACACGTGCACTGAGGAAACTCCACAAGGCTGCAAAGGAACAGCTGGGAAGTTGTAAGCTAAATGGTTCCCAGTGCATATTGGACAAGATCTGACCCACCGCAATGACAAGTCTTTGACAACTCTTACTGTCTTTCACTTTCTCCTTCCCTCCAAATCCTTTAATATTTGTTCATTATATTTAGATGTTCTGATGTTGGGTACATATATATTTACAATTGTTATATGAGTAAACCCTTTATTATCATATACTGACCTTTGTTTCTTTTCCTCTGTGTAATCTCAGTTCTGTCATCTAGCTCTCTAATTCATTATCTTGCTTAATTGTGTTGGTGTTTTAGCTTCCTATTGAAATTTTTAGTTTAGTCATTGTATTTTTTTATTCTGGGATTTCTGTTTGGTTCTTTTAAAATTTCTATTGCTTTGTCTAATTTTTTGCTTTTATTGTATTTTCAGAATTTCATTTAATTGTCCATTGCATGTTGTTATTCACTGAACTATGTTAAGAGGATTATTGTATATTCTTTGTTAGTCATTTCATAGATGTCACTTCATTGTTACAGCTTTATTAGAAATGCACAACTGAGGATTGCTTCCCTATCAGGGTGGTGTGGTGGGGTGGGCTTTTGGCCGAGCTGAGGTCCAACAGCCTTAACCCTGAGCTGCAGGAGTCTCTCTGTCTAGGCAGAGTCTTTGGCAGAGATGCTTTTTGACTGGGGGAGCCACTGCTTCCTGGGTCAGGCAGTTCTACGCCTATGTTTCTGTGAAGTACACAGAGATAAGTGTCATCTTTCAGGTGGGCTCTGAGGCCGGACATGGAGCCTAGCCATTTAGGGATCCAGCTGGGTTGAACTTCTGCCATGTTTCTGAAGTTCAGCTTTGTGGGTGGTCTCTGAAATCAGCTGTTATCTCCCATCAGGCACCAAGTGGTGGTCATTGTGACCTCTGCCTTCTTTCTTTGTTTCTACCTGGCCCCAGTGGTTAGTTGTGCCATTACCTGCAGTGTTCCCTGTGAGGTAAGACCAGAGGGGCCTTTCTGAGATGTGTGTCATGAGGCTAAAGAAGCTGAGTGACTATCCCTGGTTCTCTTTTCTCCCTGTAGAAACTGTGGGCCCAGAGAGATCATTTCAATATAGAATTGTGCTAACAGGAGGGAAGTGACATGGTAGTAATTTCCGACATATTGGGGTTTTCAGGAAGATGCTCTGGTCTGAGGGTAGCTGCTAGTTGAACTTTCTGTGCTGGAGAGTGGCGCCCAAGGCTTCTGATTCTCCTAGTTGACTGATGTCATCTCCTTTGAGTCCACTGTTGTATGTATTCAGCTTTTATACATATGTCCCAAAGAAAAGTTATATTTTCTTATGTTTAGCTTTATATTTTCTCTCTGTGTATAATTCACATAATGTGCAATTCATCCATTTAAAGTCAGGGTTGTGGGGCTGTCACCTCAGAGTACTTAGAACATCTTCATTACTCTGAAAAGAAACTCGTAAGGCCAGGTATAGTGCTCAAGCCTGTAATCCTAACTACTTGAGAGGCAGAGATTAGGAAGAATGCAGTTCAAAGTCAATGTGGGTAAAAAGTTTGCAAGACATCATCTCAACTAATAAAGCTGGGCATGGTGGCATGCACCAGTTATGTGGGAAGTGTAAATAGGATTTTGGTCCAAGTCATCCTAGGCATAAACAGTGAAACCCTATTTGAAAAAATACCTAAAGCAAAAAAGGGCTGAAGGCTTGGTGCAAATGGTTCTAACCCTGTTACTACCAAAATAAATAAATAAAAGAGAACTCTTAGCCATTATCCAGTACTCCCTCTATTCCCCTCAATCCTACACAACCAAAATCTACTTTCTGCTTTTACAGATTTTTTTCTATGAGATACTTCATGTAAATACAGTCACATAATATGTGGTCCTTTGCAACTAGTTTCTTTCACCTAGCATGTTTTCAGGGTTCATCCTTGTTTCATCACATACCAATAATATCTCCAGGTTTTAATATGAAAACATTTTACTTAACCATGAGAACACGTGATTCTCCCAGGGGGAAAAAAAATGCTCTTTCTGTGTGCTTTTTATGTCTACTTTTCTTTCCACCTGGCCAAGCATGCAAATTCCTTCGTCCCTGGAATATACATATTCTGGTTTAAAATTCACAGACACATTCTCATATTTGAGTGATAGCATTATCTTTTAAAGGTGCCAAATGCCTTTTAAAAAGATCTCAGGAAAAATAACCCTGTTAATTTAAAGCAAGCAAGCTCCATGGGCTCATTGACTGGCTATCATTACCAGCCAGTAGGGAAGGGGCAGTAGAGGTCTGTCCAGGTGGAGACCTGGGCTGGTGTGGCATGTGCTTTCTAGGCTGGTCATAGTTTTTCAGCTTTCATCAGAGGAGTCCCACAACTCCCCCCCCACAGTGGATACCAGAAAGTATTGATTCTCGTATAAAAGTGACACCAATTGTAGTTGTTCAAGTGAATCTTTTACCAGATATGGTAATTAGGAACAACATAAGGATTAAAAATAGAATGGATGGATCACTTTGCTTTATAAATTGCAAATGTATGTTTACATAAGCTTATTTTCTTCTTGATTTCTCTGGACAATCTACTGGAGACAGGGAGCGAGTCGTCTTCATCTTTGTATTTGTTTTTCTTTAGACAGGTAAATCATTGATCTTCACTAAATGCTTATCAAATTGAATTTCAGTTTGGTGCTAAATATGTTACAGTTCCCATAAACCAAACTTGATTGTATTATCCAAAATTATAGCCTGATGAGTAATTAGATACTCTTGGGGCAAAACATGTAGGCAACAATTTATTTAAAAAGAAATCAGTAATGTTTTGGCTTATATGAGGGAGTGAAAGAGGGTTTTGGTTTGTATTCTACTTGTGCCACCTTTTAAGCATTTGAATGTGATATTAAGAATGTTTCTTATTTTTAAGCCATTAAGCTTAATAAATATTGGAATATCAGTTAGCAGAAATTAAAGTGAAAATACTCACCCCTAACAACTTTTATTTATCAGATATTTTTGTAATTTCTAGGGTTTAACTATATCTTTTCTCCTTAAGTATGAAATGCTTTGACAGTCTCTATAACATAGCTTTTATTTTATATATCATTGGTACAGTTTTAATAATCAAGCATGTGTAAGGTGTCACTGAATTTAAAATATATGGGAATGTTTGATTTTTCAATTATTTAACATTTAAATGTACACAGGTCTGATAACCATTTATTTCTGATTATTTCTACTTATTTGGGTTCTCAGTACCAGTAAAACACAGCTTTTTATTATATAGTTTTATTATTTAATCTCATAGTCTCTGAGATATTCTTTCCTTTCTCATTTTCCTTGAATAGAATAGAAAAAAAATATCCTGACGCTCAGAGAAGCAGTGTACTTCACATTATACAGTCCAATAGCTACAGAGGCAAGTCTGGAACCTAAGGTTCAGACTCCAGAAGGAATCTCAGTAACATGCTGTTTCTGTCACTATTGAAAGTTTGAATGTTTCAGGAGAAGTAGAAATTGTTTCTGTGCTCAGTTTTTCTAGTTAATTGAACATTGACCATTGAAAATAATAAAAACTTACAAGTCTGCATACTGCATTGGTAAGTACAGTGTAAAAGAACAATACAGAAATGCAGATCCCATAATTCGTCTGAAAGTTTAATATTTTCATTGCATGTTTCATCATTTATCTCATTTTGGTCTAGTATTAAAAACTAAATAATGATATAAAAACATGAATGTAGGTATAATTTTTTTTTCTTTCTCAGACAGATATTGATTATGTACATGGTGTTATAGCCAACCTGGAGAAAGAGTAAGTCCTTCTTCAATATGGAAATGGAAATGTTTTAGTTACTATTGTCTTTAGCTTTGTGCTAAAAGAAAATATCTTCCTTTATTGTTCATTTCCCTGTGGAGGTCATTGTTCCTTAGACTACCTGACATTGGTCTTTTTTTTTTTTTCATTTTTCTTTTATTATTCATATGTGCATACAAGGCTTGGTTCATTTCTCCCCCCTGCCCCCACCCCCTCCCTTACCACCCACTCCGCCCCCTCCCGCTCCCCCCCCTCAATACCCAGCAGAAACTATTTTGCCCTTATCTCTAATTTTGTTGTAGAGAGAGTATAAGCAATAATAGGAAGGAACAAGGGTTTTTGCTGGTTGAGATAAGGATAGCTATACAGGGCATTGACTCACATTGATTTCCTGTGCGTGGGTGTTACCTTCTAGGTTAATTCTTTTTGATCTAACCTTTTCTCTAGTACCTGTTCCCCTTTTCCTATTGGCCTCAGTTGCTTTAAGGTATCTGCTTTAGTTTCTCTGCGTTAAGGGCAACAAATGCTAGCTAGTTTTTTAGGTGTCTTACCTATCCTCACCCCTCCCTTGTGTGCTCTCGCTTTTATCATGTGCTCATAGTCCAATCCCCTTGTTGTGTTTGCCCTTGATCTAATGTCCACATATGAGGGAGAACATACGATTTTTGGTCTTTTGGGCCAGGCTAACCTCACTCAGAATGATGTTCTCCAATTCCATCCATTTACCAGCGAATGATAACATTTCGTTCTTCTTCATGGCTGCATAAAATTCCATTGTGTATAGATACCACATTTTCTTAATCCATTCGTCAGTGCTGGGGCATCTTGGCTGTTTCCATAACTTGGCTATTGTGAATAGTGCGCAATAAACATGGATGTGCAGGTGCCTCTGGAGTAACAGTCTTTTGGGTATATCCCCAAGAGTGGTATTGCTGGATCAAATGGTAGATCGATGTCCAGCTTTTTAAGTAGCCTCCAAATTTTTTTCCAGAGTGGTTGTACTAGTCTACATTCCCACCAACAGTGTAAGAGGGTTCCTTTTTCCCGCATCCTCGCCAACACCTGTTGTTGGTGGTGTTGCTGATGATGGCTATTCTAACAGGGGTGAGGTGGAATCTTAGTGTGGTTTTAATTTGCATTTCCTTTATTGCTAGAGATGGTGAGCATTTTTTCATGTGTTTTCTGGCCATTTGAATTTCTTCTTTTGAGAAAGTTCTGTTTAGTTCACTTGCCCATTTCTTTATTGGTTCATTAGTTTTGGGAGAATTTAGTTTTTTAAGTTCCCTGTATATTCTGGTTATCAGTCCTTTGTCTGATGTATAGTTGGCAAATATTTTCTCCCACTCTGTGGGTGTTCTCTTCAGTTTAGAGACCATTTCTTTTGATGAACAGAAGCTTTTTAGTTTTATGAGGTCCCATTTATCTATGCTATCTCTTAGTTGCTGTGCTGCTGGGGTTTCATTGAGAAAGTTCTTACCTATACCTACTAACTCCAGAGTATTTCCTACTCTTTCTTGTATCAACTTAAGAGTTTGGGGTCTGATATTAAGATCCTTGATCCATTTTGAGTTAATCTTGGTATAGGGTGATATACATGGATCTAGTTTCAGTTTTTTGCAGACTGCTAACCAGTTTTCCCAGCAGTTTTTGTTGAAGAGGCTGCTATTTCTCCATCGTATATTTTTAGCTCCTTTGTCAAAGATAAGTTGCTTATAGTTGTGTGGCTTCATATCTGGGTCCTCTATTCTGTTCCACTGGTCTTCATGTCTGTTTTTGTGCCAGTACCATGCTGTTTTTATTGTTATTGCTTTGTAATATAGTTTGAAGTCAGGTATTGTGATACCTCCTGCATTGTTCTTTTGACTGAGTATTGCCTTGGCTATTCGTGGCCTCTTGTGTTTCCATATAAATTTAACAGTAGATTTTTCAATCTCTTTAATGAATGTCATTGGAATTTTGATGGGAATTGCATTAAACATGTAGATTACTTTGGGAGTATCGACATTTTTACTATGTTGATTCTACCAATCCATGAGCATGGGAGATCTCTCCACTTTCTATAGTCTTCCTCAATCTCTTTCTTCAGAAGTGTATAGTTTTCCTTGTAGAGGTCTTTCACATCTTTTGTTAGGTTTACACCTAGGTATTTGATTTTTTTTGAGGCTATTGTAAATGGAATTGTTTTCATACATTCTTTTTCGTTTGCTCATTGTTAGTGTATAGAAATGCTAATGATTTTTCTATGTTGATTTTATATCCTGCTACCTTGCTATAGCTATTGATGATGTCTAGAAGCTTCTGAGTAGAGTTTTTTGGGTCTTTAAGGTATAGGATCATGTCGTCTGCAAATAGGGATATTTTGACAGTTTCTTTACCTATTTGTATTCCTTTTATTCCTTCTTCTTGCCTAATTGCTCTGGCTAGGAATTCCAGTACTATGTTGAATAGGAGTGGAGATAGTGGGCATCCTTGTCTGGTTCCTGATTTTAGAGGGAATGGTTTTAATTTTTCTCCGTTAAGTATAATGCTGGCTGTAGGTTTGTCATATATAGCTTTTATAATGTTGAGGAACTTTCCTTCTATTCCTAGTTTTCTTAGAGCTTTTATCATGAAATGATGTTGGATCTTATCAAAGGCTTTTTCTGCATCTATTGAGATGATCAAGTGGTTTTTGTCTTTGCTTCTGTTAATGTGGTTTATTACGTTTATTGATTTTCGTATGTTGAACCACCCCTGCATCCCTGGGATGAAGCCTACTTGGTCGGTGAATAATCTTTTTGATGTGTTGTTGAATTCGGTTTGCCATTATTTTTTGAGGATTTTTGCATCAATGTTCATTAAGGAGATTGGCCTATAGTTCTCCTTTTTGGAGGTGTCTTTGCCTGGTTTTGGGATAAGTGTAATACTGGCTTCATAAAATGTGTTTGGCAGTTTTCCTTCCCTTTCTATTTCGTGGAACAGTTTAAGGAGGGTTGGTATCAGTTCTTCTTTAAAGGTCTGATAGAATTCAGCAGAGAATCCATCAGGTCCTGGACTTTTCTTTTTGGGGAGACTCTTGATTGCTGCTTCAATTTCATTTTGTGTTATAGGTCTATTCAGGTGATTAATTTCCTCTTGGTTCAGTTTTGTTTGATCATATGTATCTAGAAATCTGTCCATTTCTTTTAGATTTTCAAATTTATTTGAATATAGGTTCTCAAAGTAGTCTCTGATGATTTCCTGGACTTCCATGGTGTTTGTTGTTATCTCCCCTTTTGCATTCCTGATTCTACTAATTTGGGTTTTTTCTCTCCTCATTTTAGTCAGGTTTGCCAGGGGTCTATCGATCTTGTTTATTTTTTCAAAGAACCAACTTTTTGTTTCATTAATTCTTTGTATGGTTTTTTTGGTTTCTATTTCATTGATTTCAGCTCTTATTTTTATTATTTCTCTCCTTCTATTTGTTTTGGGATTTGCTTGTTCTTGTTTTTCTAGGAGTTTGAGATGTATCATTAGGTCATTGATTTGGGATCTTTCAGTCTTTTTAATATATGCACTCATGGCTATAAACTTTCCTCTCAAGACTGCCTTAGCTGTGTCCCATAGGTTCCGGTAGGTTGTGTTTTCATTTTCATTGACTTCCAGGAACTTTTTAATTTCCTCTTTTATTGCATCGATGATCCATTCTTCATTAAGTAATGAGTTATTTAGTTTCCAGCTGTTTGCATGTTTTTTGTCTTTACTTTTGTTGTTGAGTTCTACTTTTACTGCATTGTGGTCAGATAGTATGCACGGTATTATTTCTATTTTCTTATATTTGCTGAGGCTTGCTTTGTGCCCTAGGATATGATCTATTTTGGAGAAGGTTCCATGGGCTGCTGAGAAGAATGTATATTGTGTAGAGGTTGGATGAAATGTTCTGTAGACATCTACTAGGTCCACTTGATCTATTGCATATTTTAGATCTTGGATTTCTTTATTGAGTTTTTGTTTGGATGACCTATCTATTGATGATAATGGAGTGTTAAAGTCTCCCACAACCACTGTGTTGGCGTTTATATATGCTTTTAGGTCTTTCAGGGTATGTTTGATGAAATTGGGTGCGTTGACATTGGGTGCGTACAGATTGATGATTATTATTTCCTTTTGGTCTATTTCCCCTTTTATTAGTATGGAATGTCCTTCTTTATCTCGTTTGATCAATGTAGGTTTGAAGTCTACTTTGTCAGAGATAAGTATTGCTAATCCTGCTTGTTTTCGGGGGCCATTGGCTTGGTAAATCTTCTTCCAGCCTTTCATCCTAAGCATATGCTTATTTCTGTCGGTGAGATGAGTCTCCTGTAAGCAACAAATTGTTGGATCTTCTTTTTTAATCCATTTTCTGACATTGGTCTTTTACCTTGTCATAAAGTAGGTGCGTACAAGTCTAGTAATCTGATGAGATAGATTAGCCTTTTCCATTGTAGGAAAGATTTGAATACCATGCATATGTAGCACTATCAAACAGCAGTGGGTGGTGTAGGAAGAACAAATTGAGAATACTTAAATCTTCATCCTCTAACTACCGAGACTGATATCAGTGTAGCCATTTTAGACTTCAGTACTGAACCATGTATAAATCTGTTCTGTTTGGCAAAGATGGGGAGCCAGTTTCCTGTGAACAAAGCATGTGGCAGGTAACTGATGGAAAGCCTAGTAAGTTTCAGGCATCAATACTTTTATAGTATTGCCTTAGTGGTTTTAATAATGATATCATAAAAATTAAACTTGATATAAATTTCTTCATTGAATTTTATTTGTTTTTTTTTCTTTTTTTGCCCCTAAAGGACATACTTTCTACTTTACAAAGAAAGGACTTACAAATAACAATTGTTTTCCAACTCCAGATTTAAGATAATATGACTTTCTTTGTCTATCAAAATACTAAAAGTAGAGATTTTAAAAATATACATGGTTCAACATCAAATTGTCATTTGTTAGATTTTCCTCAAATGCTAAGTTTGTTGGCAGTCTTTATAGAAGCATACTGCTGTAGAGTGCTTAAGGAAAGGAACAGGGCAATGATTTTTGGTTTCCTTTCCTGGAGACCACATAAGGCAGGTCTGTGGTTCTTATGTAGGGATTCCATTGCCTTGCTTCTTCCTCAATGTGGGAAAACTAAGGCCAGGAAAAAAAAGTACAATTAAGTACAGTGAACATTTGCATAAAGTGCGGTAGTTGCACAAGCAGTTTGTGGAGATTTGCAAAATTGGGAATATGAACGAATTTACATTTGAGTCAGTACTGGCTGATCACAAAACTTTAGAAAAGGTTTTCTCCACCTCAGCACAGTTGATATTTTGGACTAGATGATTCTATCCATGCATGGTAGATAACAGGAGCCTTGGTATCTGTCCACTAGACAACAGTATTGCCCACTAGTAGTGAAAACCAAAGTGTCTCTAGATATTGCTGAATGTCCTGAAGAAGGAAGAACTTAGAATTTTGCATAAATAATATATTTAGATGCACACACAAATTAATTTGTTTGCTTTTCTTCAATTCCTTGTTTCATGTGAGACCCTGATTGATTTTTAAAATTCAGATTACTTTTAGAAATGTAGTACCTGCAGTTCGCCTAGGATTTTAATGCTACTCTAAGGATAGTGGCATTTTATACTGGTTTTTAAAGGGTTGTTTAAAAGATAAAGAGAAAAAAAAAGCCCAAAACTTATGCTACTAGAGACATCTGTATTTTCCGGTAAAAAGTCTGTGATGACCACCTCTTTCAATACATTGTGACCATCACATACGCTGCTGTGCATGTTTACTGATGTGTTTTATGTTAAATACAGTAATTTAAGCATTCAGATAAGTGAAATCCCATACAGAACTTAAATAATATAGCTAACCTTTCCCATGACAGATTCTCTAAAGAAATCAGTTCTGGTTTGGTGGAAGTAGTGTCACCTCCCGAAAGCTATTACCCTGATTTGACAAACCTGAAGGAGACATTTGGAGACTCTAAAGAAAGAGTAAGGTGAGCCATGTGTCATTTAAAAATTTCCATTCCTTTGCATAGAATATCTAATAAACATAGTTTTGTTCATCAAAGTTTAGAATATTTTAGGATTAACTTGATGAAATATTCTAGGGAGTCTCACATATTCTGGAGAGGTTTATTTTTTTTGGTGGTAGTGGGGTTTGAATTCAGGGCCTCACACTTGCTAGGCAGGCACTCTTCTGCTTGAGTCATGCTTCTATCCTTTTTCGTTCTGGTTATTTTTGAGATAGGGTCTCACTTTTTACCTGGGTTGGCCTGGACCACGATCCTCCTATTTTATACTTCCTGCTGTACCTGAGATGACAGGTATGTGCCACCACACCCAGCCTTTTCTGTTGAGATGAGAGTCTTGCTAACTTTTTTGCCCTGGCTGGCCTGGAATTTCCTGGTCTCAGCCTCCCTCTAGGATGACAGGTACAGACCACTGTACCTAGCTATGGAATTTTCTTAGTATGAGTAAGGGCTTAGGTTAAGCTTTTATATTATTATGTTTCTTTAAACTTGCTTTAAAGAAAAACAATTAGATTTTCTTACTTATTTCATTCATTCATTCATTCAGGCAGTACAGGGGTTTGAACTCAGGGCTTTGTGCTTGCTAGGCAGGTGCTCTACTGCTTGAGCCACATCTACAGCCCTTAAACTGGCTTTTTGAACCATTTTTATTCAGTATTAGTTAGTGTGTGTCTGTAGGCTTCCACATGTTATTTTTTTTTAGCATTCAGTGCATACTTATTAATCTCTACCTATATGCAAAATATATTCCTAGACATGAGAGTAATGTTCTCCATAGTATAATTTCAGAAACACTAGTTTACAAGGCATTAAGATTTTACTGAAAAAAGGGCCTAGGATCAAAGAAGTTTGGAAGATGTTGGATTAATTTTTTCCCCCTTAGATTTGGGGTATAAGTCAGAAGTAGAGCACTTGCCTAGCATGCATGAGGCCTTGGGTTTCATTCTTAGCACTACAAAATTTTTTTTTAAATACAATTTCAATAAATGTTTTTAATGCTGGATGTTTTAGTGCCTGTCATTCTTGTATGTCTCTAGATGGGGAGTATGTATACAGTGTTTTCCAAACTTGCTTTGATCTGAGAGTTCTGTTTTCCTCAGGACATCTTAGGGATCCAGTCTTAGGAGTACATTCTGATTAAGGCTTCATTAGAGAAAAGTGCATTTTCTCTGACTATCTACCCTATGGGTGTTACAATAGATAGATGAGGTCAAATACACCTAATCTTATTTTACTAAATTTGAGTCTGATTCCTAACCGGTGTTTTGAAACTGTTTCAGATGGAGGACAAAGCAAAACCTAGATTATTGTTTTCTAATGATGTATGCTCAGGAAAAGGGCACATACTACATTCAGGTAAGTGTGGTTTTTTTTTTCTTTAACGTTTCTCACACTTCTGATAAAAAGTATTCTAAGAGCATATTTTCATTAAAACAGGAAGTTTTGAAAGCACCTCCTCAGCTCTGTTGATCTTAGCCCTGTCTCAGGGAGCAGAGGGGTCACAGTGGTGGTTGAGAATGTGGGCTGTGAGGTCCCTCACCAGCAAGGGCAGACCCCGTCACCTGCATGGAAGTGTGGCCATGGGTAGCTCACTGACATCCTGCTTCTTCTTTCCTCCTATTCCTCCCCTCTCCCTTTCCTCCTCCTTCTCTCTACTGTTAAAAAGAACTAAGATTTAAGTATTTTGCAGGTTTATAGAAGGACTTCCTTATAATATTTCTGGAGGTCTCATGGTAGAATAATTGTTTTACAGGCCACAATACAGTTGCGTTTATATGAGGATAATAAAGTTGATGTTTAATCCTAATGTTCCAATTTTTAGCATTATGGCTGGAATGCAATACAAGTGGAATAACCCTGTGATGTTATGAGTTTTAGGTTAATCAGGTAGGCAACAGCCTAAAGAGTTCTAGGAAGCTGTTATTTCTCCCAAATCTCATTCTCCTTAATGACTTAAGTGCAAATTCCATAACTGGAATTTCATTTCTATAGCCAAACAGAGTCTATCTCTTGTTCAAAAATGTAAATATCCTTGAGAAGTATAGTAACTAAGACTGCCAGTTACTATGTTTTCCTGTAAAAGTTTATTAGAGCTTTTCCTGGGAGGAGATTTTGATGAGAGTGGCAAGAAGAGAGTCTGGGTCTCTGAGTCAGAAGGGAAGTGTTTGGGCAGCTGCTGGGAGGCTTGGGGAGAGAGAGGAGAGGGAAACACCTTGCTTCCCATGGAAGTCAGAGAGACCTAGTGCCAGTGTGTCAATCAGTTTTCCATCTCTCTAACAGAAACCTGAGGTAATGAACTTTTAAAGAGAAAGGTTTATGTTGGCTCACAGTTTTGGAGGCTTTAGTCTGCAACTGATTGGCCCCCTTGCTTTTGGGCCTGTGGTGAGGTTGCCCATTAAGGCAAAAGTGTGTGGTGAAGCAAAAGCAGCACCTTGTGACCAGGGACTGAAAAGAAAGAGAAAGGGGATAGGGTCCTACAGTCCCCTTCTAGGCATGAACTCAATGACATGCAAGACTTCCCACTAGGCTTCACTTCTTAAAGGCTCCACCATCTCCTAATAGCACCTCTCTGGGAACCAAGACCTTAACACATGGACCTCTGGGGGACATTCAGATCCAAACTAGAGCAGCAAGGTACATTCGAATGTTCACAGGACAGGAACTGTAAGTGATAAATGCTGTTTGCACAACATTATGTCTAACACTATCTGAGGTTTGCATGCAAAAACATAATATCTTAGATTTAGGTAGTTCATTACCTTTAAATACCTTAGAGAGGTCTTGTTTTATTTTCAAAATAATAAAAGAAAGCATTTTATTTTTACATATCCCAAAATTATTGTTGAACCTTGCTGTTTTGTTCCAGGGCCAATATATAAATAATTAAGAACTTCACATACAGAAATTTAAAGTCTGCTTATGTTTCTCTTAAAATTCATTTTCAGTTTCTCTTCCCGGAAAGAATTAAAGAAAACCTAATGCTTTTTCCCTTTTTCTCTCATTACTATGGGTTGAACTCAGGGTTTCATGCCATGCTAGGCAAATGCTCTACCACATTTGCAGTCCCTCTTCTGTTTCTTTTGATTTCATTTGATGCAGGGTCATGCTAAATTGCCCAGTACTTGTAATCCTCCTGCCTTGGTTTCCTGAGTAGGCAGTACTACAGGTGTGTACTACCACATCTAACTAACCTAATGCTTTTTTTGTGGAACATAGGAAGAGTGAATACTTAGGTAATTAAGGATAGGATAGGGAGAAGTGAGAGGGTCATAAGGAAAACTTCTGAGCACAGTCGGTGTATAAGATACTACAACAATGGCAGCAACAAGCTTGCATTTACAGCATGCTTACCATATGCTGCCATTTTTCTTTGCAATTTATACTCTACACTTAGTAATTCACTTAATACAGCCCCATTTATTATGGAAAATCACATAACGTTAAATTTACCATCATAACCATTTCTTAAGTATACAGTAGTGTTAAGTGTGTGTACATTTTTATGCAACCAATTTCTAGAATTTTTTCATAATGCAAAAATGAATCTCTGTACCCACCAAGACATTAATCCACCCTCCCACCTGCCCAGTGTCTGTAGTTATCACCTCTCTACTTTCTGTTTCTGATTTTTACTGTTTTAGATAATTCATATGAATGGAACCACACAGTATTTGTTCTTTAGTGATGGACAAATATTTATTTTGTTTAGTGTGTCCTCAAGGTTCGTCCATATTGTAGCATGTGACAGGATTCTCTTCATTTTAAGGTTGTATAATACTCCATTGCCTTTGTGTAACAGATTTTCTTTATTCATTCATCTAATGATGGACATCCGAGCTACTGCCATCTCTTGACTGTTGTGGATAATGTCATGAGTGTGAATACACATATGTCTTGGAAGTCCAGCTTGCAATTCTTTTGTATATATACCTAGAAGTGGGGTTGCTGGATTATATGATAGTTCTGTTTTAACTTTTTGGGAACCTCTGTCCTGTTTTCTGTAGTGGCCATGCCATTTTACATTCCTGCCAAGACTGCATAGGGTTCCATTTTCTCTAAATCCTTTTCATCGCATTATTTTCTGATGTTTTAATAGTGGTCATCCTAATAGGTGTACGATAACATCTTCTTGTGGTTTGATTTTCATTTCTTTTGTGGTTAGTGATTTTGAGCATCATTTCATGTGTTTGCCATTTGTATATCTTCTTGAAGAAATGTTTATTCAAGTCCATGGGATCATTTTAAAATTGAGTTGTTTGACTTTTTGTTATTGAGTTGTTTAAACATTCTGGGTAACAACTCTTTATCAGATATATGATTTGCAATTATTTTCTCCAGTTCTGTGTGTTGCCTTTTAACTGTGTTGCCTTGTAACTGTGTTACAACAGAAGTTTGTAAGTTTTTGTTGGTTTATTAGTTTTTGAGACAGTCTTGCTGTGTAGCCCAGACTGACCTTGAGCTCTCAATCTTCCTTCTCAGCCTTATGAGAGCTACAATTACAGATGTGTACTACTATGCCTAGTTAAAGTTTATAAGTTTAGCATGGTCTTACCTGGTTTTGTTTTCTATGCTTTTGGTATCATATCCAAGACATCATTGTCAAATCCACTGTCCTGAAGTTTTATTCTAGGGGATCTTATAATTTTAGCTCTCTAGTTTAAATTTTTAATCCATCTCGAGTTGATTTTTGTATATGGTGTAAAGTGTAGGTCCAACTTCATTCTTTTGCATGTAAATATCCAATTTTCCTGGCATCGTTTGTTGAAGAGACTGTCCTTTCCACATTGTGTATTTTGGGCACCCTTGGGGACAACCATCTGACCATATGAAATGGGTCATTTCTGGACTCCCTATTCTATCTGACTGATCTGCATATCTGTCTTTATGCCAAGCCACACTGACTTTATTACCATTGCTTATGGAATGTTTGAGACTAGGTAGTGTGAGGCTCCAACTTTGTTCTATTTCAAGATTGTTTGACTATTTGGAGTCACTTGGGGTTTCATACAAATGTAAGGATTTTTTTTTTCCATTTCTGTGAAAAATGCCATGATGATTTTGATAAGGATTGCATTAAATACTTTCCATGGTATGGCCATTTTAAGTCTTACCATCCATAAACACAGATATTTTTCCATTTATTTTTATTTTCTTTAATTTCTTTCTTTTCCTTTTTGAGACAGAGTCTTGATATAGTGCAGGCTGGCCTTGAACTCGCTATGTAGCCAAAGCTGGCCTTATACTTAAGATCATTTTGCCTCCCCTTTCTGAGTGCTGGGATTACAAGCACCATGCCCAGTCTCTTCTTTGATTTCTTTTAATAATGTTTATAGTTTTCATTGTACAAGTCTTTTTACTCCCTTGACTAGATTTACTCCTAAGTGTATTATGCTTTTGATGCAATAGTAAATAGAATTTTTTTCTTAATTGTTTTTGCATTGGTCATTGTTAAGTGGATAGAAATATGATTGACTTTGTGTGTTGATTTTGTGGGGGCAGGACTGGGGTGTGAACTCAGGGCCTCATGCTTGCTAGGTAGACACTCTACCACTTGAGCCACTTCCCCAGCTGTGTGTTGATTTTTGTGTCCTAAAACTTACTGAAATCAACTACTATATGTAGTAATTTTATGGATTCATATAACAGCATGTGATCCATGAATAATGATAAGTTTACTTCTCTTCTACTTTAAATGCCCAGTATTTTGTTGATTAGTAGTGGCCAAAATGGGCTTCCTTGCCTGTTCCTGATCCTAGAGAGAGAAAACTTGTTTTGATTTTTGATTTCATGGTAAAGCTGGCCTTACAGCTTTAAAGCTTGGAAGTGTTCCCTCTGCTTCAGTTCTATGAAAGAGTTTGAGGAAGACTAGTGTTAATTCTCCTTTAAATGTTCACCGAATTCTTCAGTGAAAAGTTCTCTGGTCCTGGGTTTCTCTTTAGTAGGAGGTTTTATTGTTGTTGTTGTTTTTTAATTGCTGTTTCAATCTCTTGTAACTATGTTTAATTTTTAATTTCTCCATGATTCATTCTTGGTAAATTATTTGTTTCTAGGTGTTTATCCATTTCTTCTACTTTATCCAGTCAGGCTCTTACAATTCTTTTATTTAAGTGCTATCAGTTGTAATGTCTTCTCTTTCATTTCTAATTTTAGTTGAATACCCTCTCTTAGAAAAATCCTTTCTTCCTTCTTTTCTGGTTCCATTGATTTTTATGATGATATATTTTGATTCTCTTCTTATTTCCCATTGTGAGTATTCTATAGATGTTTTCTTTATGCTATATGCAGTTATATATAACATCTTAAAGTTGTAGCAGTCTATTTAAAACTGATACTCTGACTTCAAACCATATAAAATC